ATGAATCTATCCAGCCTCTTTTTGAAACTTTCCAGCGTTCCAGCACTTACTACAAAGTTGCTAAGCTTGTTCCACTCGTCCACCACCCTATTTGTGAACCAGTTCCTTCCTATCTCCCTCCTAAACCTAAACTTATCCAACTTAAATCCGTTGCTCCGACTCCTATCCTGCTCGGATATTATAAGAACTTTATCTATATCTCCTTTATTGATTCCTTTCACCCATAAATGCTTCTATCATATCTCCCCACACTCTTCGTCTTTCTAGGAATGCAAGTTTAGTTTCTTTAACCTATCCTGATATGGAAGTTTTCTAAGTCCGGAATCATTTTCGTCCTTCTTCGCTGCACCGACTCTAGTGAATTGATATCCATTCTATAATAAGTGCACCAAAACTGAACCGCATAATCGAGGTGCGGCCTGACTAGCGCAAGATATAGTTGCAATAAGACCTCTGCACTCTTATTACTTACACTTCTAGATATAAAACCTAATACTCTGTTTGCTTTATTTCGAACATTAACGCACTGTTTTCTAGGCCGTAGGCCTGGTCCGTGCTTACAAGATGCTTTAACCTGTCTCTGTACTCAAGGTTCCTAATGCCTGGAATTAGTCTTCTCATTCTCCTGTGGACTCTTTCCAAGGATTATATATCCATTCTGTAATACGGTGACCAGAACTGAACTGCGTAATCCAGGTGGGTCTCACAAGCGCAAGATATAATCTTAAGATGACCTCGCTAGTCAGGCGAGGTCAAGTCAGGTTAAGTTAGGTTATCCCCATGCTATTAACATTTCCCCAAGATCAACCCACACACCACTACGTCAATATATCCCTTTGCTAGTACAATAAAATATAGATCCACATAAATCAAGATCCTAACTACCATCATATTTAAACTATGATACACCAACTCCAATGACACACACTGTGCCATATGACTTAACCATGACTTCAAAGGTCATTTCCTGGAGCGTCTCGACCCACAGTAACACCCACACGCGTTGGTGACACATGTAGACCAACCAAACCTATACGTGAAACATACATACATACATACATACATACATACATACATACATACATACATACATACATACGCGAAAGGATGGATATATAGATAGATAGTCAGTAAAAAATCGTTGTACAAGCTTACATTGATTCAGCTTATATACAGATGATACAGTTATACAGTTCAGCATGTATATAGACAATTCAGCATATGCATTATACTATATAAAGGCATAGTATAGACAGTGCTGGTGGCATGTCTACTTACTTATCTATATATGTTTATACATTTATTTATCTACCACTTTCTATGTTCAGGTATAAGTGAGTGGAACTGTGCAGAATCCCACAAAGGATCATGAATGTAAATATTTTCCTGATACAGATTATCATAATAAATTCCTAACTCCTTATTTCTCACCATATTAATTTAGTGCAATACTATTCTCTCTACATTCAAAATAAAATAAAAAGATTAATAAATTACTTGAACTAAATATTAAAATAAATGCCTTCTGTTTTTAGTATCGTTTTAAGGACGAGAGCAATTATTTTTTCGGTTGTTTATTGTGTTGTTTAGCGAAGTTATAATGAGGTAAGATGGAATGATAAACAAGGGGCAGTTATCTCCTTGTTACATCTCGTTATGCTTGTTGCTTGTTATAAAATAATGGTAACGTAAGCTCTCGCCCATCTGTTAGCTGTAGTCAACGGGTCACCCTTCAGTATGCCGCCGAGGAGGAGTGCGTGAGTCAGCAGTGTGATGCGTCAGTGTGAATGAATTTTTATACATAAATTTTGGTTATTTTTGGTTGATTGTGGTGATGGTGGTTGATTGTTTGTATGCTGGGAGTCTTAATTATTTTAGTCTGTGTCCTTTAGATATCAGTCATTGGTCTTCTATCTGAGAGTCACAGGGTGATCGAAAAGTCCCTGTGCACCTGCAATACAGTAAATGTCCTCGTACTTGTTCCTTATTCATATACATTATTTCCCATTTTTTAATTACACTAAAATATTGACAATAGTTATCCACTTCCAATATTTACTGTGACCATTACCAATATTTACTGTAAGTTGAACAAGGTAGATAACAATGTAGGTATAACAAAGAACAACTCCAAATTTATTACAGATGCACAGGGACTTTTCGATCACCCTGTACATACGATATTCTAGCGAGAGAATTTAAGAATCGTATCATATGCCGTCTCTTGCTGTCTATTATCGTATCTTACCGTCATCATACCGTCATCTTTCTGTACGTATCTTAAGTCAGTAAACACTCGTACATCCCCTTAAGTCCCTGAGTTACGAGAGAAAATATAACTTACGAATCTTTGAGAATCCGGGACCACATGAAGCAGTCATTACAGAGTACAGTTTCACTTTATGGGGAGTTGTGTTGCTGGTGGCCTCCTCCTCCTCCCCCCTCTTCTTCCTTTCCTCTTCCTCCTGCCCATTCTCCATTCGTTCTTCCTTCTTCCTTCCCCTTTCTCTTGTCCCCCCCTTCCTCCCTCACCTCTGCCTCCTCTCCCCTCCCTCCCTCTCTCCTCCTTCCCTCCCTCTCCTTCCTCCTCTTCCTCCTTCCTTCCTCCTCCTCCACCTCTCCTCCACTTCCTTTGTTCCTCTCTCCTTCCCTCCCTCCCTGCCGCTGCCCATCCCATCCATCCCCCAGCTTGCTTAATACACGGGTGTGGGTTTTTGTATGCATCTGGGGAGTGTTGAATGTGTGTGTGTGTGTGTGTGTGTGTGTGTGTTAGCTACGTCTGACCATGGACGAAGGAAATACAATAACATTTACAATAACTTTCATATTTTCACTTGACATTGATATTTATTACAAAAGGCACGACAGCCATCTTGGATATTTTTAACCCTGATCATTCATATGTATACATGGTGCAATTTATTATAATTTATATATATACATGGGGTAAATTAACTGGAAGAACACAGTCGAGATACATAAACATTCCTACACAAGCACGCGCGTGTCTGCACTCAAAGTTATATTGATAAAATCATGGCTCACCGATAGAACGCAGAGGGTCAGCGTACTGTAGATGGTGTTAAATCTGAGTGAGGCTGTGTAACCAGTGGGGTTCCCCAGGGGTCAGTACTAGGCCCACTCTTGTTCATAATCTACATAAACGATCTAGATACTGGGATCAGCAGTGACATAAGCAAGTTTGCGGATGATTCCAAAATAGGGCAGCAGATTAATTCAGGGCAGGATGCAAATGCATTACAGGAGGATTTAAATAAACTGCAGGGGTGGCCAGAAAAATGGCAAATGAAATTCAACACCAGCAAGTGCAGCGTACTTAGTATTGGAAGAACAAATATGTATATCAATGTATACAGCCTTAACAACATCAACCTAGAGAAGTCGACTTGTGAAAGAGACTTAGGGGTAATTGTAAGCCCAGGCCCTACGGCCTAGAAAACAGTGCGTTAATGTTCAAAATAAGGCAAACAGAGTATTAGGTTTAATATCTAGAAATGTAAGTAATAAGAGTGCGGAGGTCATATTGCAATTATATCTTGCGCCAGTCAGGCCACACCTCGATTATATCTGGTGCCCTTATTATAGAGTGGATATCAATTCACTGGAGTCGGTGCAGCGAAGAATGACGAAAATGATTCCGGGACTTAGAAACCTTCCATATCAAGATAGGTTTAAAAACTAAACTTGCATTCCATAGAAAGACGAAGAGTGCGGGGAGATATGATATAAGTATTTAAGTGGGTAGGAATCAATATAGGGAATATAGATAAAGTTCTTATAATATCCGAGCAGGATAGGACTCGGAGCAACGGATTTAAGTTGGATAAGTTTAGGTTTAGGAGGGAGATAGGAAGGAACTAGTTCACAAATAGTGTTGACGAGTGGAACAAGCTTAGCAACTTTGTAAGTGCTGGAACGCTGGAAAGTTTTAAAAGGAGGCTGGATAGATTCATGATAGAGAGTGGTAGTAGCTCTCGACAGGAGCTGCCATGCACAGGCCAACCAGCCTATTGCAGACTCCTTATGTTCTTATGTTCTTATGTTTTTATATAGTCAAAGCGCGAGCGCACACACACACACACACACACACACACACACACACACACACACTACGTTACTACACTACGTATTTGCTGTTCAACACGTACAATCCTACATTAATCTGTATGTTCACTGTATGTTCCTTTACCTTTCTCTAATGAAGGCTTTTGTTAAACCACCACTGTATGTAATAAGTCATTTATGTCCAATGTATATTTTCAGCCTTCGGGCTGCAGAACTTTTTCAATAAACCGTTAATTATTATTATTATTATTATTATTATTATTATTATTATTATCCCAATATACCAGCTGAAGCAGTAGCTCACCCAGGCCTTAGATCAGCTAAACTAAAATGATCTACAAACATAACGTTGCATAATAAACATTCTAAGACCACCTGCCGCAGTTTAAAGACTACCTGCCGCAGTTTTAAAACCACCTGCGGCAGTTAAAAGACCACCTGCCCGAGAATTGCTGTTCTACACCACAACCGCATCCAGCCCATACGTGCACGAACTGATCGCGATAAGAACAGCCCAGTCCCAACCATTGTAAAAATTATCAAGAACTTGTAATAAACCAGTGTATTCACTCCCAGTAAATCCTACTTCTTGCACTGTCACTATGTTGAAATGCCCTGTAGTTTGAGCTTTTCCCCATCTAGTTATTATATATATTATTTGTATCACTTATGTTACTTGTATATTATTTGTAAATCGAAACCCATTCCCCAAATATGTAACTGTATATTTTCAGCCTTCTGGCTGTTATTCTCTTTCAATAAACCGTTTAATTATTATTATTATTATTATTATTACAATCATAACGTGTCATAATAAACATTCTAAAACCACCTGTCGCAGTTATAAGACTCGCTGCCGCAGTTTAAAGACCACCTGTCGCAGTGTAAAGCTACCAGGTGTCAGTGTGTTGCAGATAGGAGGGTGGCGGCGACCCTGGAAGTGGAGCGAGTGTGTCCCCACCTCCACCAGGAGAACGTGACGGTAGAGGTGAAGTATCCCTGGTCCTTCATCGACGCCCTCTACTTCTCCATGACCGTCTCTACTACTATAGGTAAGTACTGTACTGTCTGTCTGTCTGTCTACCTGTATGTGTGTCTGTCTACTATAGGTAAGTACTGTACTGTCTCTCTGTCTACCTGTATGTGTGTGTGTGTGTGTGTGTGTGTGTTTCTCTCTCATAGTACGCAAAATATAAGAAGCGAAAAATAATGCTTTCATATTTAATGACACATATATATATATTTACATACTGATACACGTAACACATACATACATACATACATACATATCCATACACAACATACACTTACGAATTGCTGGCTGAGAAAATAATATACAAAATTCTTTCCTGTTTCGTGTAATTTTACTGAATATCAAAAATGTCTTCCTGATAATTAATCTTTATTTTCAATTAATTATTTGTGGTTAATGGTATTCATAACCTTTTTTTTTCTTTACAAGCTACACGGATGATGCAGAGGTAAGTTTATATATATATATATATATATATATATATATATATATATATATATATATATAATGGAAACAACGATACCTTAGCTTTGTCTTTATTCAAGACATCTTCAGGGACAAGTACCGTTGTTTCCTTCATTATCAAGTATTTATCACGTTTCATTTGATTTAATGAAATATATATATATATATATCGGTGACTATTGTATACAGTGACCTTTGTAACGTGTAGGGATAAATGGTCATTAGTCAAATTTTATCGTTAATTTTGTATATGTTTATGCTATTTTAAGAAACAGAATAAATCATGTATAATCGGTAATATTATCATAATGTTACGTAACGGAAACCAGTTTACTGAACACGTCACGAGTTAATTCAAATCTGGGAAAATTTATGTCATAATAGCAAGTTCTGAGATTCACGGACGTTCCAAATAAAGTTTTCGCAAAGTATCTCTCCAACAGACCGCACGTAAAGCAGTATTTACATCTAACACCGTGGAAAGGAAAAGTGGTTTGGCAAATTGGCTCTCAGATAATATATATTCAAAACACATAGCAGAAAGACAGGGATATCGTTCATTATCCTCTTATATAAATGCAAAATATGTATGCCTTTCATTTGTGTCCAGTGTTTTTAGCCTTGCTTATTTACGATATATGAAAGTCTTTAACCTTTAACTAATGTGTTAACTTGTATACCAAAACGATGACTTATTTCTTTATTCTTTATTTAAAAACGCGATCCAGTACGATACTTCTAACTAAATGACTGTACGGGGATTCCAACTCGTGGTAGACATGATTTTCAAAACAAAAGCGAATCGAAGCCTTTCAACACATGCCATAATGAAGTTAATTATTACTACATAGACTCGTGTTTAGTTCATCTATAGTCTTTTTCGTTTGATATCTTCTGTCCATAGTAGATTGAAGGCTTCTTTATAAAGTACCATAATGATTATTAATGATTTGAGCTGTGTTTGTTAGCTTAAGAGGGGTTCTGTCATGGCGGTATTCACTACTTTATTCCCCAGAATGACCTAATCTCTTTCCTGCTGCTGTAGCCTGTAGATATTTTCTTCTCATTCTTACACATCTCTTACTCTCTCTTTCACCTTTTCATTCATTCCGACACATCCCTTCCACCCTCTCCTCCAGGCTACGGACACATCTCGCCCTCGTTGGCAGCTGGACGCATCATGTGTATGGTGTACTCTCTGGTAGGCATCCCCCTCACAGGTATGCTGCTAGCTTGGACCTCTGAGTTCTTCGGCGAACAACTCTTCAAGCTCTTCAGGTCCAAGGTGAGTGAGAGTGGTGGTGGTGGTGGTGGTGGTAGAAATACAAATACTAGATAGATGGCATATTAATTCGTGTATCTGACAATGGTTGGAATTATTATCGTATACAAAATATCAAATCGAACGTTAGCTGCTGTGAGCGTGTCTTAACCTTGCTTACTCCCATAAATGAAATGCGAAAACTTATCTGGTTAAGAAAAGAAAATCCAGTATCATTTCTTCGCCATTTTCGCATTGCCTCTCGTAAGAATATTTGGGAATCATACCACAGGTGACCTAATTGTAATACACACATACCCTATCAGTTACTACAATAAGCTTACTTACACTTGTGTTTTCAACGAGATAAATGAATAAATTACAGCTTTTACTGAATATGATCCTCGGAGCAGCTGAGTAAACTTAACGTCACTACTGTGTGTTGTGTGTGGGGGTGGTGGTGGTGGTGGTGGTGGTGGTGGTGGTGGTGACCTCAGCCACGGACAATTGTACTCAACGGGGAAAAGCCTTACTGTACTGTATGTCATCAAAATTACAGGCAAGAGATCACCTGAAGATCAATACACCCCAGCTTATTTCACCTGAAGATTACCACCCTAACCTAACCTAACCAAATGTGTTGGTCACACAATATATATATATATATATATATATATATATATATATATATATATATATATATATATATATATATATATATATATATATATATATATTAGTTCTTGAATTGATAAGTGGCAGGGCTGAAGTAAACACTTTGTTGGTTTTCTTTTATTGTAGAAAATATAGTTTCACAGGTACTGAGTTCAGTTGAGAATGTATTGTACCTTCTATACTAAGGGAAGTGTCTTAGTGCACTTCAGGAGAACACTTAAGTGAGGTGTTCACTGGGTAACAAGTGATATGAGAGAGTCTCTCTCTCACACCAGGGAGAGAGGGTGGACAAGCAGGCCTCAAAAGGAAATGCGTCAGATGGTGTTGCTGAGATGTGCTGACCCAGCTTGACCTCGCTCGCTCCCCGGAGGAAATGTCAACTCACCAATTCATTCATACACATTGGTGAATGACCTGGTGAATATTTTGATATTATACATTTGGGTAAATATTTATATAATACAAATGGTGCTGTTACACCGCTCGGCTACCTCCAACCGATGGCCTCACGGTTTAAAACCTAGGTGTACCTAACCTTGTTACAAAAAGGTATGCTTAGCTAAACTTTTTCGTTGTTTTTATGTTTTTGTAATTCCTTCCGAAAAGTTTTCTTAGAAACTATTGTGTACCTAGAAGAAATCTTCCTGTAACAAATTATCATAGCAATCAAGGAACTGATAAATATGATGGTAGGTATAATAAAACCAGGTAGGATTATACCGGAAGATAAATATAAAGGAAGAGAATCCTGTAAGTCAGGAAACTGTGTCTCATTAATATAAGATAGGAGGTTAAGTTTATCAGAAGCAATATGATGATTACTGAAACTTATATTTAAGGGAAATGGTATGGGGTTCAGCTCAGAAGTAATATTTGTGACAAATGCAAGATGATGGGGAGTAGTCAAGGTTGTGGTTGCATTACTGCTAATTTCACAATAGTCTGGTGCTATATGATAACCTTCTACCATTAAATGTTTGCCTACATCCTGACATATAAGTATCACACTGGTTTGATTCAAGAAAAAGAAATATTGCACATTATTGTCATGTGCGTGAAAAACTAACCTATGTGGTATTGGAGTATATACGCATTGTTGTAGAGCTATTAGTTTGTAACAGAGCTAATTCACATGCAGCCTTAGCGGCCCGTGTGAATGCAAATCTAACCTAACCTCCCCCTACCTAACGCTAACCTAACCCAATCTAACCTAACCTCATCTGACTTAACCTAACCTCTCCCCAGTGTAAGTGTCAAGCGAGATGTAACTGAACAGAAAAATCAATGGAGAGTCTTTATGGAATCAGTCAAGCGAGTTACTGAACACAGAATAATCAAATGAGGGACCGAACGCACAATTATGTTTACCATCACCATTAACACCCTCATCATCAAGCACCCTCACCCTCGTCACCATCACCCCGACCACCATCATCATCATCATCATCATCATCATCTTCACCACCCTCACCCTGGTTCTCTCAACAGCTAGACGTACAAAAGCAACATTCTCGGGGGATCATCGCAATGGCCACCGGTTTTTACATCATTATTGGGTTCGTGGTGTTCATCTTCTTGCCTGGCGCTGTCTTCACCACCCTAGAGGACTGGACCTATCTGGAGAGTGTCTACTACGCCTTCATCACCCTCACCACCATCGGCTTTGGGGATTTCGTTACTGGTTGGTGCAATTTCCTCTTCAAACTCTCCTTTTAAACACGTTGGAGGAATCCCCTTGAGTATAATGACTATACATCTCTTTAAATACGAAGAATTAGCTCCTTAACTATGATGTATTAAACCTCACAAGTATAATGAATACTATCAGCATCCCATACAGTACCTCTTGACTTTACCTCTAACTAACAACCCTCCTCCTCACCACATACCTTTATCTCCCTCCTCATCAACACAGGTTCACAGTCAGAAGGGGCGACGATCTACGTGTACCAGATCTGCGTCATCTTGTGGATCATGATCGGACTAGGCTACTGGGTCATGGTGGCGAACTTTATCACCAAAGCCCTCAAGTCCAAGCGGCTCCAGAGTTCAATGATACGCAGCGCTGAGGAGATGAAGAAGCTTATGCAACAGATGGGCATCAAACAGAATGACCCCACCTTCCTCAGACAACACTCAAAGGCTACTGTCAACCTTATGCTTCAGGTGAGAGAGAGAGAGAGAGAGAGAGAGAGAGAGAGAGAGAGAGAGAGTGAATAGCGTGACAAATAATAATGAAATAAATGACCGAAAAAATAGGTTATATGGATAGAAGCAAAAGCCTAGCGGTTACCTGCAGAGAACGAAAAAAAATATTATATAAAACAAGACAATATACTGTATAAATTAGTCCAACAGTTCAAAATTAGCATGTAACTACTTCTACCCTATTTCCACACACAGACAGGTTAAAAAAAAAACTATCGTTGAACTATACGAATCCTTCAAATATACCCCTATGGTAAAACGTTATCATAATCTGAGTAATATTAATCTTCCTCAGCTAAGCAGCATCATCGCGGTTCAAGGCGGGACGACGGAGAACGGTAGTAGTGACACCCCTTCGTCGCCCGGATCATCGTCCACAGAGCCATCCACCTCCCCGTTAGTCTCTCCCATGGGTATCCCCGGCATCTCGGCGCTGTTCGGGGCGGGAATGGTACGAAAGCCCCCTCTCAGTCACTTGATGGGACCAATGCGTAAAGAGGTAAAGTTCTCTTCCTTCTACCTCATGTTTATATACTTTCCTCTATCTACATCTAGCGTCTTTCTATATATACCTCGTTATTGTTTACATTTATTTTCTTTACAGTTTAGCGCTAATTTATTTTATTTCTTGTCTTTGTTTACTTCTTAATTCTGTTTTTCATTCGCTTTTCTTGCGTTTTGTTGCTTCGGTTTGTTTATCTTTCTTTGTAAACTTTAATGCATTATTTATCTTCATCACTGCTACAGGACACTTATAATTCTCAACACTACTGTCCCCTGTTACTTTATCTTTACTTTACGTTTACTTTACACTTTATTTTGTCTATTGCAGCTGCCTTCTTACAATTTATAATAGTTTATCTCACTTAATAACTGTTTGTCTCACTTTATATCAGTTTCTCTCACTTTACAACTGTTTGTCTCAAGTTATATCAGTATCTCTCACTTTATAAAGGTTTCTCTCACTTTATTACTGTTTCTCTAACTTAATAACTAATGACTTTTTTTCACTTTTCATTTATTGGAAACAATGTGTCGCTTCATCACCTTATTTTCCAATTTACATATATATTTTTTTCGTTAAAGTCACAACGCATTAACACTTTCAAACACTATTCTTTATAAACTTTTTCTGGGAATACTGTACTGATTATATTGTTGCTTACTGCTTAAACATGCATACATAAAGAGATCTGAAATACCTTCATGTATATTATTTAATATAAAAATGTTTTATCTCGCTTTTTAATCAATTTCCGGAACGTCTTGACCCTTTTCAGAGTTTAAAATAGCCATCGATCTCGTAATCTGTTGAGGTTTTTTTCTAACCTGTTGCCCTCGACAATTTCTCTTTCTTTTTCTAGGACAACGATGACTGTAAATGTACTGAGGAGGTTACCGCAGTGACAGTAAGGTACAAGTCATAGTCAAATAACTGGAAAAAGACCCTTTCTTAAAAGCTATTTCACTGAAGTAAACAACAAATAATCCATGAAATATCTAAACACCTTTTTTATAGATGATTAAATCCTACTAGAGTGTGTTTGTGTGTGAGTGAGTGTGGATATGTAAACACTGAGTAACGCGAATGAGGGTTATAAATGCGCATTCACAGCATGGTTCTTGTCAATATTGATTCGTAAGTCTGCAATCTAGGCACGTCTAGGTGCATGTCAAGGCTGAATATATGATACTAATTGCTTTAAATCAGAGTCAATGAACGTTATCCTCAGTGTATTTCAATGAGCGCATGATGTTAAGTGGAATAATTTTATATGCCTGCGTGAGTATGTGAAGACGAACGAGAGAAAAGGATCTGCGTATCGAAGTAACCACAGTCGCGTTGTTTCAAGAGGTCAGTCGTATTAGGGGTGTCAAAGGTCGGCACGGTGTTGTTTTTGTAATCTCTGTTTATCTATGTTAAAAAAAAGTTGTGTGTCTATGGTGCAAAAGTTCAGGTGTGGTGGTGGAAAAGGTTAAAGTTCAGGGGGTTGAAATTATGTTGTGTCACTTATACTATCAGGCTCCTTATATACATACATACACACATACATACATACATACAAATACAGTATGGTGCTGTTAACTTTGAAACCTTGATATGACCCCTAATACACCAAGTCTGCTTTAAGCTTATTACTGGTAAAGCTTCAGATTTAAGCATATTACTGGTGAAGCTTCAGACGTACTGACTTAGTTCTTACAGTGCTGAGAGAATTTGTATTTGTGTGTCTTTGTGTTAGTGTGCACTGGTTTTAAGGTGTGTGTGTGTGTGTGTGTGTGTGTGTGTGTGTGTGTGTGTGTGTGTGTGTGTGTGTGTGTGTGTGTGTGTGTGTGTGTGTGTGTGTGGCTTTTTTGTGTACACGGGTTAAAATGCACGCGCAAAGGAGTGTGTGTGCGTGTGTGTGTGTACAGGTCTTCGTACATACAGGACTTGACAAGAGAGGAAATTCGTTTGAGGTAAAAGTGTGGTATAGACTCTGCTAATGTGAAAACTTTGAATAAATTAACAAACAGCTGATTAACGGTAAAGCACAATTCTATATATAATTCTACGCGACGTCTTCACAACGCTTACGCTTCACAGATACTCCATCTCTTTTTATAAACATCAAAATATATTGGTTGACATTAATATTTTTTGCCATTTTCCGCTACATACCTGGCAACTAAGACTTAAGAGGCGCACCCACACGAACCAAACTCAACCTTGATGCCTTTCTCACACACACACACACACATGAATTGGAATTCCTCCGTTGCATATTCAATAACAGTTTCAGAATTAATGTACTGTACTGCTGTATTACGCAAATACCACAACTAAAATCTCGCCAACTCGCCACATCAATCACACCCAGGTGGAGTACAGATGCCAGACCTTGTATACTGATTTTTCTCATTTTCCTTTTCGTTCTGGTTGGCTCCTTTATGTTTCAAATGTGTGTCGTGTGTCATATATCAGCTCTCGAGTTCTATAAAGTAAGACCGATTGTGTTGAAACTTAAAGGAACAATGGGAGTGAAATGTTATCATGGGTCCTAATCCGATTCACTTTTTTATTTCTCCGTTATCTAATCTGAGAACAGCCGCTGCTTTTTGTGTTGTGGGTGGCTCTCTACCTCATCTTCCAAATTAACATCACTTGCCAAGACTCAAAACCGAAAAAAAAATCGTCAATGTTTTGCTCAAAGCCAACACAAAGGTCGTTTAAATTTAGTCTTATCTCCCTAAAAAAAATACAAATTAACTTAAACTCAATAAAAGGTTAGCAATTACCTACACTGGTCAATCAACAATTAAAAATTATGCCACATTAAACCAACTGAGATGCAGTCATAGTACAGTGGGGGGCCGTGTTTCAACCTGCACTAAAGTAGTCTAGATGAAATATTTGTATTATAACACTGAGCTTTACACGGAATCGGGATCGGTAAAATACTATAAAAGCGATATCATACAAGTAATTTTCATAAACAAAAGAAGTAATTTGTTTTTCAATTTCTTTACCTTGTATATATTTATTTCCAGAGTTGTAATCTAAGATACCAACAAAAAACAAAGCACTAGCAACGTACATATTTTAATGTTCAAAAATTAAAAACCAAAGTATTTATTTTATATTGAAAATCATCAGTACAGGTAAGATAAATATTAGTCCATTCAAAACGCGTTTAACCATTCAGTAGGCTACACTTCTTATCCACTACAGGCTAAACCATCTATCATTTCGAAAAGTCAATATTTTATAGTCTCCATCCCATATCCTCCACTGGGGATATTTCACCGTTACAGTGGTACGGTATACGTTACTAGGTAATAACTACGCGATAAGAATATAAATACTTGTTAGTCTATAAAAAATACCTCCGTGTTTTGTTTTGTTTATACAATGCAGTTTGTCGAGTTTGTGCTGCAAAGCTGATATGCTTCTCGGTGCTACACTGCTCTGTTTGTTTATGCTATAATACCCTACTACTTGTACGTGATATGGTGTGCTACTTAAATGCGCTATGATGTCCTATTTCTGCGTGCTATAGTGCCCAAACTGAACGTGTTGAAAAATGCTACTTAAAGTGCAGTAATGCGCTACTTTTACGTACCAGTGTGCTACTTGTGAGTGCTATAGCTATTTGTACCTACTATAACGCGCTACTTGTACTGTAAATGCTTTCATGCAATTACCTTCTTGTGCTAATATAAAGGCCACAGTTTGTTTACAGTTTTACGTTGATTTGTTAAAATGAAATATATCTGCTTGTAATAAACTCACTATGTCATTGGCACTGTGCTCAAATGTCCTGGCTGTATTCTGCCTTGCTGTGTGTTTGTACTAAACCTGCCGTCGAGTCCGTCTCGTGTTCAGCTCGTGCCCCTGTGTGTGGTTTACCTGTCGTCTGCTAATATGCATGACCTAACACCTGATTTGTCCATTCCTCTCCTCCCCTGTACCAGTTTGTTATGAGTCACACTTCACCTGACTACACATACACCACCTACGAGCAAACTCTTAGCCTCCAAGACGAGATGCCAGTTACAAAGGACGTCACGACGAAGGATGAGGTTGACCTCCACCATCCAACGGACGATAGCAAGTCTTCCTCCTTTACGTTGGCTTTTCCCCTCAAACTCGTGGATTTTCCTCAGAAGTCGAAGGACTCAACGAAATTCACTTCCGAACCAAAGGACTCCTCTGCCAAGCCCAAGAACTTTCCCCTCAGGCCGAAGGACCTTCCCCTTGAGCAGACGAACTTCAGTCCCAAAACCAAAGACTCCCACCTCGAAACGACGGACTTCTCCCTTGAGCCGACGGATTTCCCCTCAGCGCCAAATGACTCCCACATCGAGCCAGCAATGTGCCACCTGCCGCTACAAGCACAAAGTGAAACTCAGGTGACATTGACACTCGAAAAAGATGCCATTTCATAAGGGCAGGACATAATTCACCTTAGGTTACGATCCCTCTGATGAGGAACCTTTAAAGAGGAAATTCCGATATCACGTTAAGCACCAGAGTTGGATGTGATCTACTTACTGAAAGGTTCCACTGTTGTGTGGGACGTGGAGCTCAAAGGGATCACTTAACACGTACAGCTCTGGTGCTGATCTACCCAAGTAAATAGAATCTAGAGGAGCCTTCAGTGCTACCACTCTACAGAAAGTCAGCGATGTTGTCCACGCACGAGATTAAACAAACTGTTATGTGACGTCACCATAATCTACCGAGCTTTTGGCCACGCCCAAGGAGCCTGGAGGTGTTGTGGTCCTGCGGATGTCACCACGCACTTGCTATAATACCCTTGACTCCAACGCGTTTCATAATAACGACTTCTCCAGATGCATCCAGTTGGGTGATAAAATAATCTCTTAGATACAATGGCTCGCTGTACCAGAAATAATGCTACAAAGTGTGTCAGCGACTGTAAACACACGCCCTTCAGTCTTCACGTCAAATGATTATGTGTGATATGTCTAATATTGATGGCGACTCATGGTTAGTTTCAAACGAAATGAGACACGTAATCTGGCACTATGGGGATCAGTGACGTCAGTATAGTCCAGGTGTCTTGAGACGCCGTAACACTAACAGATCTGGGTCAGGCCCTTGTTGTCTCAGGAAGAATGAACGGGTCGTGTTGGAAGTAAACCTGTCAAACATCCTTCATGGAACTGGATGTACCTATTAGTTTTTATCGGGGCGATAAAGACTAATAGGTACAGTACATCCAGTGAAGTGTACCCACAGATTTTCCTTAAAATATAGCTCATGGGACCATGTGTGTGTGTGTGTGTGTGTCGTATTCGAGTCATCTGCAATAGTTCCATCTTATCTGTAGGTGAAGGTGTCATGAAATAACACAATATGATCCTTATTTTTTATGGAATTTTACAATTACTGTATTATGTATGTGTCAGCAGAGAACAAAAGTATTGCTTCTGGCTGACGAATAGAGCTACAAGACGACGTAATGCCCTCAGTATTATGACAGCTATGGTTATATCTTAAGTATTCTGAATGCATGTGCAGCTCAAACATTGTATTCTTCAGTATACTGTATGTTAATGCCAATCTGACATTCTCTAATTTTATATACAAATTACAAGTGTTATATTCTAATATAAATACTGTAACATCTCAACACATATGGAAACGTTATTATGCCATTCCTTTAGTTTAAGGTTTTATACTTATTAATAGATTTATTTTGAAGCATTAATAGATTTATTTTGAAGCAATGAAAGACTAAACTTGTATATATATATATATATATATATATATATATATATATATATATATATATATATATATATATATATATATATATATATATATATATATATATATATATATATATATATATATATATATATATATATATATTTATATATATATATATATATATATATATATATATATATATATATACATACATATATATATATATATATATATATATATATATATATATATATATATATATATATATATATATGCAAGTAAATCACTGTAGGTGCTAGGGTGATGTTATTCGACATCTTCAGTGAGTACTCACCTGAGATGTAATTACAACATATATATATATATATATATATATATATATATATATATATATATATATATATATATATATATATATATATAAATAATTTGGACGTATGGTTTCTTAGTTAATATATAATATTACTTAAAGCTCTATATTGGTTTAGAAGTATTAATCAATATATTTTACTTATCATTTATTTTATTCATAAGACATTGAGAGAACTTTGCTTATGTTACAGTACTGAAGTCTCTCTGTGTGTACAACTTTTATTAAATGTTTCAAAATATTTTGTGTTACCTTCACCTTCAGATAATTTTGTCAATATTATGTCCACAATCAACATTTAGTATTACCGCCGAGCTCCTGCCTCACCACATACCCTCAAGAGCCAGGATCTGAATGACGATAATAGTCTGTTATAACAGTTACCCTTGAATAACTAATGTCAAATGATTTTATGTGAGACCAAAATATCCCTGCACGAGGATATTCTCCATACTTTAGGTTCAGGTCCCAGAATCTTATAGGTTCGTAAGTTCAGTTCTTCCCCTGACTGGAGGGAAATATTTTGTCAATGCGTCTAACTCAATACATACTTGGCAATATTTAGACATCTTGCGCGGTTTTAATATTTAGTGTTTGCCTAATTGTTTACAGAATTATTATAGATTATATATAATTGCCGAAACAGGTTTAACAAGTTACAGACACTAGAAAGAACGAAACTAAACTTACTAAGAATCAAGAATGAAAGATAATTGCACCGCTGAGACAACTGTTTGCAATAGCTATCTGTGACACAACGGCATTAAATTATTTATAAGACATACAGTATAACCAAACCTTACAAACTTGAACTAACTGAACGATATTAAGTTATATTTAATTAGGAAAAACTATTTTACTTGCTTCATCTCTCACAAATGGTTTAATGCCTCACAGTATTCTCAGCCACCATTAATACACAAAAACATGGAAGCCTCGTACGCTTATAATCGTGATACTATAAAAGTTCAGATTCGTTTCTTTAAAGCCCACATCATGCTTCTACAGTATGAAATAATACTTGGTAACTCGGTATTTCTAGATAGTGAGCCAAACGGTATCGCAGTTGCAATGACATTTTGCTATAACTAAATGCCATTAGTATTGCTTTGTTCTCTTACTACCAATTTGAAGAAAATATTACCATACAAAACCTTGAAAAAACTTGAACCAATGATACTAACTCACAGACTATCTGAAACGTAATTATGTAATCATTGAACGATTACATAATCAAACCTATCAATAGCAACTGTAGCTCGCGTTAATACTGTAACGCTTTAACAATATGACAGCGGACTGAGGATTTTGACAACCCTACCGAGACAACAGGAGTCGCAATGTTCATTTTGAAATTCATCGACCCTCTCCGTAGACACTTTTTGGGGCGATTACACAACCCTGAAGCTTTATAATGGATATTATTTTCCCAGTGTCAATAGTCCCCCTTTATTCCCCCTCCTCCCATCTTTTGAAACTTCTGCCAGGGTGGTTTGCTGGTGCTTTTGCTTCTGATACCATGGTCTACTGTATATCCGCCCTTTTCATTTAATATCAGATAACCCGCCCAGCTTCTGCTCAGTTTAGAACATTAATGAATTGGTTCTGTAACAGCTTCGTAATAAGTACTCGGTATAAAAAACAGAGTAAGCAAATCGTTTCCCTTATGCCTCTTATTGTATACCTATTTATAGCGAGAACTTTAAGTATCTTTATCCTTTTCTTCGTCCATTTTATAACACTAAAGAAGACGAAAAATTGGCTTACAACATACGAGACTCTCAGCACAATATATTCAGAGTTGTCTTGATATATGTTTCTCGAGTCATCTCCTGAACGTCATCGTGTTTGGAGACATGGCCACCTGCTGCTCGGTAAGTTGTTCACACATCTACAGTACGCAGTGTGAAGATGATGGTAAACTGAATATCTTACACGCCCACGAAAGCTAAATAATAAAAATAAATGCTGATGGCATAAAGATCAGGCACCCGAGCTTATTTCACCTTAGGATTAAACACGGGCAGATGGTAAAATGACACCGAATGCCCAAATAAAAAAATTGGGCACATCATTCATATGTTTCAAAAAAATAGTTTATCTGTAATAAACTTTTTAATTGGAATTTGGCATCTGAACGAAAATTAATAATATTACGATTGTGATTTGACTAGTGACATGTTGACAAGCGTTCTCATTGGTTAAAACTAAACAAAACAACCCTAACTTTGCTTAATTATGATCATACAACATATAG